GGCACTCAGCAGTTACCTCCTGTAAAGTCATGTCCGGTTTGCGTTCAATCTCTGCAAGGATTCGGGTACGAATATCACTGTCAACTGAAGATTTGAGACCGCAGACAAAGATCAGGCATTTAAACTGGTCATCCGTAAGTGATCGAATTTTCGATCGCTCGCATTCACGATTCACCTTACCAGCATAGGTGAGAATATCATCTTCTGGATCTTTGGATATCTTGAAACAATTGTAACGGATACTGAAGAGAGATAACTGTTCACCGAAAATATTGGTTAACGTTTGAACGGTTTCTTCAAAGTTGAGTTCTCTGGAGTTCTTTGGTAGAATATGATTGACATATTTGTTATGTTCGGCTGGACCAAGTTTCCGAAGGAGTAATCTCACTTTGGCCGAATCATCTAGGTGAGCGCATTCAACCCGGAACAGATCTTCATAACGTCGAAACCAAGCTTCAAACGTCACGCCTGTTGAAGGTTCGAAATTGAACTCTACAATTGAACTCCCAATAGATTCGGTTTTCTCTGAGTTGGAACTGCCGAGATTTTGAATTGAAAACTGCTTTGTAAGTTTTTCAATCAAGCTGAGCTGGCAAGCTTCAAACTGTTGCTGTTGTTGATGAAGGAGAAGTTGCATTTGTTCAAATGAAATTGTCATTTGGAAGACAGGCTGGATGTACACTGGATGATCTGGGTTTTATTTGACTGTATTGAACTGCAATGGATTCGAAACCCCGTCGCCAATTGTTATGATGCTAGATCCTTTGTCACGCGGTCACTGCTTAACTACTGACCAGTGCCCACTTAACTGGTAAAGCAGAACACGAAGAGAATCAACGGTAAAACCAGGTTCATTTATTATGACAAAAGTGACTGTATTTATACAGAAAATAGGGTAGACTGGAAATCAACCAATCCGGTTGAGAGTTGGAAGAACATAAGGAAGGGACTACCTACTATTTTCTTAATATGTACTGAAAAGCCTATGTCTAAAGGGAACAAATGCTTTAAACATTGACATCGCCAGGTATCTCCTTGAGACGGGTCATGAGGTGGACGTTGCAGGATCGTTCAGAATTATCGGTGGGCAAAAGAGTTCAATACTCCTCAAGTCTGCTGAAGCAATCTCCATCAGACGCCTGAAACCCGTTCAGAAAGAAGCGGTTATCAGTCTTTCCTTGTCCTGGTAACTGATTACGTAATGCCGAGAGTTCGCAATATGTATGGTCATTAATGTCCGGGATAAGGTGTTTATTGTTATTATTATTATTACTATTATATACATTATTATTGTATGAATATATTGATTGATTGATCATTAAAAAAGAGATGTTCAGCGAAGAGACTCTTTTCGATGGCGAATTCATTCACATAGCTGTACAATCGCATTTATGTATAATTATTTGTGTATGTGTGTGTGTACGTGAGGTTTCTCAAGTTTAGATAATTAATCAGGTAATACAAGAATGATCTAATATAGAAACAAAGTGAATCAGACAGCAACTAAAGTAAGATTGAGTCAGTAAGTTAGATGACGTATTATAATTGACTAAAATGTTTCAACTTAGATCAGGGTAGCAACAGAGGTAATTACAGGTGGAGACTAAGTAGAAGTGAAATTGAGCAAACAAGTCGGATGACGTAACATAAATGACTAGAAACTGAGCGTTGTTCAAGTCAGTAACAGTGGTAGTGAGGTGTAGAAATTAAATCGGGTGGGGGTAGAGAACAAGAAAGGTGGAAATATAAAATATTACCATTGAAAAGACAAAATACTACTAATGAAGAGGCGGAAAAAAAAGAGATTAGGTAGAATTTACTTATCAGGTAATAAGATAGATTACGTCCACTGCAAGTGTAGTGATTGAACGAACTTCTTTTGTATGCAGAGTTCAGGACTTAGCAAGTGAATCGCCATTGCTTCTGCAGTTTGAAGAAGTCTGATTCTTACAACTTTAGGAAGACTACTTCTTACTCTGTAGACTGATTGATTTTTGTTTAAGCATGAACTCTATGCAAGTGTGTTAAAATTGTCCCTGTAGATATACTTAATAATGACTTTGGCCTGTAAGCAGCTGACGAGAAGCCAACGAAATAAACAATGATGGTACCATTTTATTCTACAAAAACCGTTATTGTTCTTGCTTTATTCAAAAACCTTTTTAAGTCCTTTGGAGAAAAGATATTTCGTATGAAAAAACAGAGCAGGAGTGACAAAAAGATCTTCACAACCCACAATACTGAATATTTCTAGCTTGTTGCTGCTTTTAAGGCTACACATAATGGTGCGAACCTCATCGACGACATATTCATGACAGCATACATCCGTCTTTTCATATCATCTATCCAATGATGAAAACATAGGTAAATTACAGGTTTTTCATCATGAGCTGACATTAGTTAGAGAACCATTGGAAAACCTGGGAGTACTGGACAGCTGTTTCGTCAGACTAGTTTGGGACTCTTCATCAGTACCCACTCACCACCATGGTTCGAATCCAGGACCTTCTGGTTACAAGGCTAGCGAGCTCGTATACCATTAAGCCAGTGGGACCCGATCCAATGGCCCATGAACAGGTAAATTACTCAGCTTTCAGAGCGTATTAACTCCCCACCCCACCTTTTATAATTGAGAAGAAAGAAAGAAAGAACTTCGATACCATTATATTATTAATATTATTATTGTTATTAATGTTATTATTATCATTATTATTAATATTATAATTATTGTCATCATCCGTATTTTGAGTATCACTGTCTTGTCTCGAAGGCAGACAATATACACATGTATATATATATCAGCATTGAAACACCAAGGAAACAGAACCAAAACAAGGGAAAAGTGGTAATCAAACAGAAGAGTGTTTGTGTGTGTGTGTGTGTGCGCACGAGGGAGAGACAGAGAGGACAAAATAACTTGAAAAGAAAACACGAAAACATCGCCTGAAATGAAATAATCACGTTTGGCAACTAGGGGTGGGTGGGTGGGGCTGGGAATGAATAACCGCACACCCACCCGCCCACCTCCCACACACACACGCGCGCGCAATCGCACATCAATGTGAATGAGTTCAAAAGTCAATCTGATGATCTGCAAGATTATGAAGATTAAACAATCTTCCACTCCATACACAGACACACAAACGCTCAGAAGGCGGGGGCGAGAGAGAGAGAGAGAGAGAAACAAACACCTACACACACAAATTAGAGTAAAATGCGTCAATTTCCCCCCACCCACCCCGCCGAAAATTAAGCGTTCATAGTACATGAGAGAGAAAAAAAGAACTCAAAGGACAAAAACAAACCAAAACACAGTTCAGATTACAACAAAAGTATGACTTTTATCTCAATAAAATAAAACAAGACAAAGAAAAATAACAGTAATATTATAAGCAATTATAATAATAATAATAATAACAATAATTGTAAAAAGAGCCAATAGAAATAATCAATTAGTTAGTTAGTTAGTCAATTAAAACAAGAGAGGAGAAGAAGTACTGATGATTCAATGTTCAATATTATAACATAACAATAACATTGAACACGCCTGCCTCACTTTCCCGCCACACAGATAGACAAACAGACACACACACCAAAGCATGATAGAGAATATTATTACAAAACAAAATGAAGGAGATGATGAGATAAGCGACCAGTGTGTATTATTATTATTATTATTATTATTATAGTGTGTTTAACAGAAGCCTACCACCACCACCACCTACTTACTAATTGCTATTGGAATACAATCAATATTATTAATATTGTTAGTATTATGTAGGCGCACACAACAATGCAATGTTTACATAATGCACACACCACAAACACTTAAAGGGAAGCAAAAACAAAAGTTATTCGAATTAATATATGCATGTATGTATGTATATATATGCCCATGTATGCTTGCATGTGTGTGTATGAGAGCAACGATGCGACTGTCCACAAACACACAGGACAACTCCTCGCCGTCATCGTCGTCCTGCTTTATAAAGCAAGCGTGTATAAAAAATCATGGATAAGGAAAAGAAAGACTAGAATTGAAAGCAAATAAATTAGAGACAACGACGCCAGTAGAAAAAAACACAACAAAATGAGACATCCTAACACACACATCAAACACTGACAACATGTAGAAAGAAGAGAGAGAAAAGCAATTCATATATATGCAGGTATGCTGTATGCATGTATGTATGTCTGTGCATATTTAAGTGAGCGTAGGCGGAGTTACAATTCATTAAATCAATTTTTTAATATAATGTCTGACTGACCTATCGATCGATCGCATACGTATAAATCGATAGAGTCATTTTTAAATTGTTGTGTTGTTCAGGGATTCTCATTTTCGGAGGAGAGCGGGAAAAGGGAAAGAAGAAGAAGCGAATTTATTTAAAAAAAAAGAGGCTCACTCAAATATTGTCTTGATTTTTTGTTGTTGTTGTTTCAAATAAGAAGGCTTATTTTTGTTTGTTCTCGTCTTCATACACTGACTGACTGACTGACTGACTAGTTCATGGTAGAGTAGGAGAGAGAGAGAGATAATATTTGCATTAGAACGATACATGTATATATAGCGGCGGCGTTGTTGAGGAAATTGAAAAAAAACAACAACTCGTAAGCATGCGGAACTAATCATTATAATTATGCAAAAAATGTCAGAAGACGCACGTGCATTCACTTACTCACCCACTCAGACTGACTACTACAAACAACATGATACACATAAGAGAAGTAAGAGCGGAAATAGAAATAGGCAATCAAGCTGTAAAAACCATATTGAGACAATAGAATCAATCAATGCCTAATTGTACGTGTAGGAGAAGTGATAGTAGTTTGTGTTTTTTCCAATCAAAAACCAGGAGGAGGCGTAGAAGGAGGGAAAAGACAAACACACAAATAAACAAACAACAAAATGCGTAAGAAAAAATGCTTATACACTTCCTTTTTTTGATTTTCTTCAAATATTGCCAATAAAATCAATAATTAATCAATTTATTAATTAGACAAGTTAAAAACCAAGTATGGACAAAAGAAAAAGAAATTAAAAACGGACAGTCTTTGGTATGGTATGACCAAAAGTTTTCTTATTGTCACATAAAGCGCATACAGGAAAGCTTAACACACATTTAAGTTATACTACTTGTGAGTAGCAAGCAAAGAAGAGAGAGAAGTGAAGTAATGCACATATTTGTCTATTTGTGTTTTTCCTTCTTGTTTTGTGTGCAACCAAATATGCAAAGATGGTATCGATTGACTATTGATTGATTGATCGATTGATTCATCAGAATTTGAAAGATTACGTACAAAAAAGAAACAAAGACACAGAGGAAGAAGACAATGGAAAACGAATGAAAAACGAAGCAACAGAATGTCATGTGAATAATTCCATAGAATTTATTCATTTCGTCATATTTTAACTTGTTCACTGTCAATGAAATCATTCGCTAATAGTAGTACGGTGATACTCTATTGCTCCAAGTTAGGCTTGCGACTAACAGTCAGTCAGTAATCAGATGCAAATGCACAGACAGACATGCGAGCACGTTCACACACACACTGACAAGGATGTACATATGTATCATAGTGATTGGTTTATCGAAGTAAGAAGAGAAACAGGAGAATGATAAAAATATTGCAAGCGAATTGTTGTATTGCGATTGTTACTATCATATATATATATATATATATATATATATATATATATATATATATAATTACTAGCACAAGAAACACCGAATTATCCATCAGCCATATCGACCTTTTGATTATCATATATATCAATACGTATAAGAAATGGAGAAACGCCAGAGAAGAAAAAAAAAGAACGAACGTGCGCGTCCACGCCCACGCCCACGCACACATTCACACACGCACACACACACACTCAGAAGAATGAGAAAGGCAATTAACAAGAGATGGATGATAATTTCTCGAAGAAACAAGTGCGTCCATGCGCGTGTGTAAGTGAACATACATGTGAGAGCACATAGGCATGTTTGATAAAGCAGAAATGAAAGTATAAAGACATATGTATGCATGTCATTGTAAGTTTATTTGTTGAGAGATCTCAAATATGACGATGATGTGTTCACACAATCATACAATCAATCAAATTATTGATGGATAATGCAACATCATTTTCGACAAGACATAGGACAAACGCATACATGGAGAGAAAGCATAAAACTAGCAGTATTAATAATAATCATAATCATAATAGTAACTAACAAAGTGATGTAAAACACGGAAAGAGAAACAAAGAGAGAAAATATTAAATCAATATAAACCACATCCCTTCAAATTATTCGCTATAATCACATCTGTTACAGCATCGAAGACGAATTGAATATTATTTGTATCAGTGGCACAGGTTTGATGACAGTAGATCTCTTTATTCGGTGATCGATTCTTAGCCTCAAATGATGCCTGGATATAAATGGCTGCCTCTTCATATGTCTGTTTACCTATAACAGTCAGAAAAGAAAGCATAGAATAATTTAAAGTAGTCACAAAACGGGCACTATCCAATAGTTAACGACATATACATTTTTGAATTGAAAATTTTGACTACTAGGTATTTATGTAAGTAGTAAAAGTAAATAAAAGAAATATTTCCCATTTGTCCAGCATCTACGAACTTGTGTCTCATCGCTGACGTGGACCCGACAGTTCACTCTTTTCATCTTTATGGTTGTTAGAAATGGCCATTGAAAAAGGAGGCTTAAACCGCAGATGTTCGCTTTCTAACTCTCGTCTTCAGTGGCATAATATTCCGAGTGATATTGGGGAGCTCAAAGGTCTGCACCGATTGAGTTGTCTAAAACAGGTCATATATATGCGAATCTATCGCCTTCCTGAAGGAGCACTACTGTTAACTGACATAAGGTTACATTGAAAAAGACTAAGGGATGATCAAACCAGAATCTGAAATCAATCCATGAAGTTAAAGGATTTCATCATGAGCTGACATCGGTTAGAGAACCATTAGAAAACCACCATTTGAGTACTGGACAGCTGTACTATCAGCCTGGTTTAGGACTCTTCATCAGTATGCACCCACCTCCAGTGTCCGAACCCAGGTTCTTCTGGTTACAAGGCTGACGAGCTCGTAGACCATTAAGCCACTAGGACTCGATCCAATGGTCAGCCGATGAATTCTAACTTCTGCGAATTTATGACATAGCGCGACCATTTCACAATGTCTTCGTCAATGAGTTACTACCTCATCTTCAACCTGCTGTACCCTACTGGTCATGATGTCAGCTCATGATGAGATCCTCCATCCAATCAAACAAAATCTCTATAAAACCAATACTTGAAAATTAATCTGATGCTCACTAGCGACTGGCCCGATTCAGGCAGTTAGCCTGGGGTTCTAGTGCAAAACCGTGACCAGTAGGGTACAGCAGGTTGAAGATGAGGTAGTAACTCATTGACGAAGACATTGCACTATGTTGTGAACTGTCAGAATTTAGAGTTCATGAACCAGTGGATCGGGTCCCAGTGGCTTAATGGTCTACGAGCTCGCTAGCTTTGTAACCAGAAGGACCTGGGTTTGGAGCCTGAAGGTGGATGCGTACTGCTGAAGAGTCCCAAACCAGGCTGGCGATACCACTGTCCAGTACTCGAATGTTGGCTTTCCAGTGGTTCTCTAACTGATGTCAGCTCATGATGAAACCCTCCATCCAATAAATCCAGATTTGAAGAATAAACATTTCTACTTTTGTAGCCATTGACTTAAAATTTTCTTGCCAATTTCGGCTACTCCTCCTATCAATCTGCACCTATATACTACTACTACTGGTAAATCTCGTCAGTAGTATACGCCACAAACTGCAAATAATGACAGAGGAAAAACTGTTGTTGATGTCCTGTATTCCACTCGATTCGTGAGGAAAGTTCAACCTGATATCAATTGGTCGGCCTGTTAAATTTGGCCTACCGATATCACATGCTGAAAATTACATACTTGTAGCAAAAATACTGTATGTGGAATCAAGCTATAATCAAAAAATAATAATTATGATTATTATAATCTATCTTTCTCTTTAACTCACCTGGATATTCTGGGAAACAGATAGTCAATGGGGAACGTTTAATTTTCTCTTCAAATAAATCCTTCTTGTTCAAAAACAGAATGATACTTGTATCAGTGAACCATTTATTGTTACAAATTGAATCGAACAATTTTAGAGATTCTTGCATACGATTCTACAGGACGAGTTGAAGGAGGAGGAGGGGGCGACAGAGAAAGAGAGAAAGAAACCAACAGATGTAAAAATTTAACAAACCACAATTGAAATATGTGACATAGTTGGATAAATAAACAGTGTGTGCATACATACAAAAAACACATACTAACAAATATATAAACCTCAATAACGAAAGAAGGAAAGACCAGAACTGCAGTATCAAACGATATCATCATTCTATTTCACAGGTTCTCATCAGCTGCAGACCACTACCTGGAATTATAATAGTTATATCAAAATGACAATAACACTCTTCGTTGTTTGAATAGTAGTTAAGAAAACATGATAAAATCAACACATCCAAAATATCATCATTACAATTTAAAAAATTTAAGTTACCCTCAATTTATATGCTTTCAAAATAGAAAAGGAGTAACGGAGGGGCGGGAGAGAAGATAGAAAACGCAAAAATCTAATAAACAGGGTTAGCTTCCAGGTTTACATATTAGGTAACTGAAGTAGGTTAAGTAGGTTGAAATCACTAATATACCTGATTAATCAATGTAATCATCAAAATGCAGTTGTTACCAACGGGAGTGAGAGATTGATTCCAATCTCTTTCTGTGTATGCATAAGTTCGGCTGGAAACCCTTGATTGTAATTGTTTCAGTAAACCGTAGTAGTAAAGTCGCTGTCCTTGGTAGGTTTGAAGGATTTGGGAATCTCAACGAAACGACCTGTATTCACAAGGTATCCTGAGTGCTAACACTGTTTATCAAATGTTTCTGTTTTTTGTATTCTCCTCCCGCCCCGTTACTCCATTCCTACTTTGAAGGCATATAAACTGATGGCGATTTAAACTAACAAAACTGTAATGCTTATATTTTAAATGCATTAATTTTATAATATTTTCTCAACCATCATTCAAATATTGAAGCGTGTATTGTCATTTTATATAATTATTTTAATTTCAGGTAGCGCTTTGCAGCTGATGAGAACCTGTGAAATAGAATGATGATATCATTTTGTACTGCAGTTCTGGTCTTTCTTTCTGTATTGAAACTTACCAAGAGAACCAAATGTATGAAATATACAAAAATAGTCGTTACATATATTAAGAATCAGGCGATCAACCTGTTATTGATGGGTGGGATACACCACGATCAACTCAATTTCTTATGAATTCAATCTCCGAATACTTCACTCTCCATCTAATATCACCTGGTTGTCTGTCAGTTCTACGGTTATTTCTTCTCAATAATTTAAAACAATTAGTTCCCTGTATGAATTTCGACAACACAAAAAAAGAAGACGTAGTTTATCTGAAACTTGTAATGTAATGTGTATTTGATTTTGATGTGGTTGTGTTCTCTGAGCTGGATAGTTAATTTGTGAAGCTTTCATCACCTCACTAGGTGACATCTTCAGTGCATACTTCAGTTTGAAGTGAGCTTTTAGATTTCTCCATGAGTTTATTAATCATCTCTCCCGGTGACCTTGGACGTGATTGGTTGTTTTTGTGTGTTTTCACACCTTCTAGGCTACTTGTATTGGAACTGATTGTTTCCCTGGCTTGAGCTTTAACCCTTTGTGTGTGAGGTTTCTTTCTTATCGGTTGATAAATTTTGTCTATCTCGATGTGTCTATTGATTGATGATTCACTGGAATGCCAAGCTTCTAAAAATTCTCTAGCATTTTTGTTGTTTCCTCTGTTTAATATTTGAACGTTGTCCCAGTCGAATTGATGCCCGTGATTGTCTGTCGTCTTCGTATCCACGAACATACGCTAGCCGTCAAAAGACATGACATCCACTCCCTCATATAACTACATAAAGACAATCACGGACATCAGTTCAACTGGGACAATGTTCAAATATTAGACAGAGGAAACAACAAGAATTTTTTATTATTTTCCTTCACGTTCCCCAGTGGAACATAGGGCTTCAAGCTAGTGGCTTGAAGTTTCTGTAGCAGTGTTTTTTTTACAGGATGGGGTTGCTAGCCTCATGCCCAACCTTTCCTCTTCACCAGCATTATTTCTGTCTTAGCGAGGTAAAGGAGTGCGTCGGTGGCCGGGGATCGAATCCCGGACCATGTGCACGGTCGGTGAGCGTCCTAACCGCTATGCGACCGACGCACAAAGCCGCCGCCCGATGGGGGGCACGAACCCCCGACCCTTAGATTAAAAGTCTGATGCTCTACCGACTGAGCTAACCGGGCCAGGTGTGTCCATACATACGTGTAAATTGACAAACGCAGTGGGATGTGATACTATCGTTCGGATACTGTGAGGGTTTACAGGACAGCATAGTTGTCGTTTTCTCTATGAAGATAATTTTAGCTGCATAGTAAGTTATATTAATTGCCACCTTGAGTCTTTGTTTAGTGACCAGACTTTGTTGATCACCCATGAAGGTCAAGGATATATATATATATATATAAACATCCCTTTTGGGAGCTGATTGGATTGGTAGAGCTCTTTGGCTGACACTTCTGTAACGCCTAATAAATCTCAGTGGGTAATTGTTATCCAACAATATTTCAGTGAGGTGTTGTCTTTCTTCTTCAATTGTGTCAGCAGTACATATACAGTGAATGCATTTGAACAAACACTTAACCAGCGCTTTATTTATACTGCAGTGGATAGAAACTATGATAATTTAGATAGTGTCCTGTCCGCATGGGCTTTCCGTAGACCTGTACACAATCTGACCTTCATTGTAATAGTTCTTGCTTTCTTACCTTCTATATAATTAAAACTGTGTATGACAAGTACCCGGGTGTGTGATCAGAATGTCCGAAATGTGTTTGTTGCGCAATTACACATTGCATTACACGTTTCAGATAAACTACGTCTTCTTATTGTGCTGTCGAAATTCTTAGTAATTATTTAACAATTGAAGAAGAACTTTCTACCCTATTTACTTCACATTATTATTGACAGGTTGAAGATGTAGGCCACTGCGGAATAAATGAGTCGTATAGCTTTAAAACATCTTGTCAGTGTACACTTACAACCACTGTCTGCTACAAAAACAAATCGACACATGTAGTTAGATGGTTGGAGACAGAAAAGCTTAGTGTTAAACACGTCTCCGCGCTTACAGTGGTACTGGTTGTTTGTGGGGTTCCAGTTTCTCAAGGGATACCAGATCCTTCGAGAATGCAGATATGTCTTGCCAACTAATGACGAGAAGCATGAAACGTAAGTCGAGCAGCATCGACGTCTTCCAACCATCTAATAGCATTTCGATGCGGTTGGTTATCTGGCTTGGTAGCGCTTGGATTGCACATAAGAGGACATGACAAAAGCATGACATTGGCTGCTCCCGATAGATGACTAATCAGTACGCATACAGAACATACAGTTCACTCAGAAGTTGAGCATCAATCAGACAGTTAGTTAGTCAGTCAGTCAGTATACGAACACTAAGTACTGAATATTTCATTTTCTTTCTGCGGGAATACAGTTCAAGCAGGATGAAACATTGATTATAAGTTGGTTTGAAATACACAAACTAAAGTTGGGGATCACGTTAAAAAAATGCGACAAGACAAATTCAGTGCCACTATACAAACACCAATACACACATACATAAAGAGAAAGAGACACAACGACAAATTAATACAAAGTTTCTTATCAATATTTGTATAGAATTGCTATTAGTTAGAGAACCATTGAAAACCAGCAAGGAGTACTGGACAGCTGTTTCATCACTATAGTTTGGCAGTGAGCATCCACCGACAGGGTTCGAACCCAGGACCTTCCGGTTACACGGCAAGCTGGCTCGTATACCATTCAGCCACTGGGACCCGATTCAATGGCCAATCCATGAATTCTAACTTCTACCAATTAATTCGTGGTTTTAGGGGGTACCACCAACCAATGTCATCGACAGGAACTCCACCCTCACTTTCAAGTGGATGGACTTCATAGTCACGACTTCTCACTAGAACTCCAGGAAACTCTGTCGTTGTAACCGGAAGGTCCTGGGTTCGAACCCTGGCAGTGGGGTGGGTGCGTACTGCCGATGATTCCCAAACTAGGCTGATGAAACAGCTGTTCAGTACTCCTTGCTGGCTTTCAATGGTTCTCCAACTGATAAAAGTCCTTGATCAACTCATAAAAACAAATCTAACCCTTACAAATCAACTATTGAAAATTTTGCCTAGAATGTAAAAGATGCGAGACTGGTTGGTAGTCAGAGTCTTTTTACACACCGATCACACAAATAGTCAACGAATTCATAAATTGAATATGTGTCTCAATAAAGACCCCGCTAAAGGCGCCTTTATAACAAGACTGGAATGACTCCAATTATTCTGGTATGTCGGCTTATACAGTGGCTCCGCATGCCCCATAAAACGAAGCCTTGATAGGTATTTCAGAGCTTGTCCAATACACAACAACTACTGTTTTTATTTTATTTTTTTATATTCCTGAGCGGGACACATAGGGCTTCAAGCTGTATGGAATGACCGTGCTAACCTCACGGCTAACCTTCCCTCTTCACCAAGTTTACTACCTACTAAACTAGGTAAAGGAGTGAGTTGACCGGGGATCGAGCCCCGGACCACTAAGTTGGGTTGGCCAGGATCCTACCAGACCACTTGGGCCCAATATGCAAATGGTTGACTTAACACTCATTCTCTGAATTAATATGTGCCTAAAAGCGACTTTAGTTATTCACTGAATCTATTCTAAGATGAAACACTTTCCGTGAATAGTTAGTAACTATCTTTCTTCATCTGACTGTATCACTGCCTATCACTTCTGAGTCTGACTACTTCAAACTTAATAGCTTTCTGTTGGACATCAGCAAGTGGTCTAAGTCAAATGGTCTTATGCTAAATCCTTCCAAATGTCAGGCGGTTAACTTTACTTTCAAGCATCGACGTGACACATATGGACTAGTTAGTTCCCATGATGCTTGTAGCATAGATGGCACAGAAATTGAAACCAAGTCAAGCATTAAATGCCCTGGATTAGTTCTTTCCTCTGACCTTTCATGGTCATCCCACATTTTATCAATCTATAAGAAAATGTTTTGTCTTACTTTCTACATTAAAAAGTTAAGACAATCAGGTATCAACCAACCTTTAGTTCTGCAATTTTTTAAACTCCTGCATTTCACCTATTGTACTCTATTGCTCTCCATTAATCTTTCCTGGGCTTCACAAAAAAGACTATATGATATTATGAAGGGTATTAAATGCTGTGAGTAGGGCTTGTGGTATGGCACTGCGTGAGCTCGCCAACATTATAGTCGAGAGACATATAAAATCCTGTACAAAATGGGCAAAGACCGTACTGCCAGACCCCCTGCACCCCCTTTATTAACAAATATCCCCTTGCATCTCATCAGGTAGGACGAGAAGTCAATATAAGAAGTTATATGCTCGAACCACTAAGTGCAAAAATTCTACAATGCCGTATTTAGCCCGTATTTTATGTGATGAAGACTCTATTAGACGTGAAACATATAAGTTACTATGTAATTAGCAAAGTGAATCGACCCTTTCATTGTTCATCTTTCTGTAATTTTATGGTGTCACCCTTTCTATCGTTTAATTATAACTATTAGCTATTTTATTTGAGTTGTTATTACTATTATTACTACAATTTTATACTTTATGCATATTTTTCTCCGTATTGCTTACAGTAATCTGCTAAATAGCTGCTATAACAACGTTTTGTTATTATTATTATTATTATTATTATGTAATGTTTGTTTCTTATTTTGTATTTTTTGTCGTTTTTGAGTAAATTAGATGCAATATTGTACCGAATGCTGAAAATTCCTTGCTGTATCATTAGTACTGTTTTTGGAATAAAGCAAAACTTATTATTCTTATTATTAAAGGTGAAACACTTTCCGTGAACAGTTAATATCTATCTTTCTTCATTTCCAACAGTTCTTTTCCATAGCTCACATTGGTAAAAGAGAAACAGGAATTCGGTTGACGGGAACAGTTGTTTCATGTACCAAGACGTTTCGAACTGCAAATATTGTGTGTGGGTATGCTGCTGATGCTATTCAGATGCCCTCATGGCTGCATAATCCGATGAAGTCACACATCTCAAAGAAGTCTTCTGAATCTTTCACCATAATATAACACAAAATCCTTCAGGTAAGGAGTGAATCTCTTTTCAAATTGAATCACAAAATGACATGAGGTTAGAGAAGCATTGAAGACCGTCGAGTACTACTAGACGACGGTTTCGTCCTAGTCTGCGGTACCACCGCCACCAGGATTCGAACCCACAACCTACCTTAAGGTTACAAGGCGAGCGTCCAGGAATTCTAACTTCTAATAATAATAATAATATCTATTATTCTGTGGTTTTCAATAGTCCTCTCTCTGAATGAGATGTCATCACGTTTTTGTTTAGCAAAAAATAAAGTAGAGATGATTAAATAGACTTAGACTAACATACCGTTGTCTCATCTTCATGTAGTACTTGATCATATTCACTCATAGCAACACAGAAGATAATCGCTGTGACATCTTCGAAACAATGAATCCACTTTTTACGCTCTGATCGTTGTCCACCGACATCGAAGAGTCTACAATGTACACACACACACACACAAAGAAAAGAATCACAAATATAAACAATTTCGGCGGCATAAACAAACAAAATTTAAAGGGGAATAGAGAAAAAACAAAAAGCAAACTGGATGATAAAAATCTTTTTAAACTTGGTCGTCACATGAGTAATCCAGTTAGTTTACAGAGAGAGAAGATAAACCACTGAGAGGAAAAATTACTCAATAACACAACAAGGTGAAGAGAAATACTTGAGAACGCTTGAGTGACTTTAATAAGTGGGCAGATTATAAACTAAACGCAAAACAAAACATGCATGAATGCAATGTAACACTGCCCACCCCATGGACGTAAAACACACACACATAAATATTAATTTAACTTTGTTAATAATGAAAAGTTATGTGTCTAATGTCACATAAACTCGAAGACTTACAGGCAGGCGAAAACCAACAAACTGGCTGAAGAAGCAACCAGTGAAGACAGGACTCCAAGTGAACATAGAGAAGACGGAGGTGATGAAGATAACCAACCAACCAACCAACAGCAACAACAACAACGACATTTAACAGAGGTTACTTCCCTCACTTACCTAGGAAGCACCGTTTCAAAAACAGGCACTCGGGACGAATGAATATGTCAAAGTCAAAATCAGAAAGGCAAGATACGCCTTCATCAACCTGAAACCAGTTTGGAAATCTTCTACACTCAACATAAGGAACAAGATTCAGATTTTCAAGACAAATGTCAAGTCGGTCCCTCTATACGGGTCAGAAACTTGGCCAGCGTGTAACGAAAGGGATTTCCAACAAACTACTGCAAACTTTCATCATCAACCACCCCTTCGCTGGCTCCTTACTCAAGATCAAATGGCCAGAAAGAATAAGCAACAAGAAACTATGGGAACAAGCCAACCAAGAACCGATCGCTCAAAAAAATATGTAGGAGAAAATGGAGATGGATCGGTCGGCCATACATTGAAGAGATCGTCGAATGACATCGCCCTCAATCCAGGCCATCGCTCGAGTGGAAAACCGAATGGGAAGCGACGAGTAGGTCGTCAGTTTGAGGGCGACCTGGAGGAGATCGTGAGGTAAAGGGGGACATGAGAGATTGTAGCCAACCGTGGTCCAAGCTGAAGAGGACGGCAGAAGATACGACAAACTGGAGATATGTTGTTGAAGCCCTATGTTCCACTCGGAACGCAAGGGAATAGTAATAATAGTAGTGAAAAGTGGATGCACAAGATAAGAAATACCTCAGGCATAGAAGTCCTTCACTTCACTTTACTTCATGTTGTTTGGGTTCCTCTAAACAACAATCTAGGCACTTTAACCTCGAGTGCGATTAGCCATTTGAATGTCCTTGGGTATGATTGTCACATGTTTTGGTATGGACAACATACTAGATTGACTACGTAATTAGGCTATACTGGTTTCTTAAAGGATAGGTACTCCTGAGCTCTAGAATAGTACGTCAGTCTTGAACTCCTGAGTGACCTCATGAACAAGATGTCGGAAGACAAAGTTCATGCATCAGAAACTCAGTGCTCTTCTCTTAGCGACGAATTTCACGAAAAGCGATGCTTCCAAGACTGTTACTGTATGGTTTCATGACGCCACCAGTTGCTTGTCATTAGTAGATTTACGAACAGTCTTTCTTGTTTGACGCATAGAGATACACCGAGAAACGATGAATCATTGACGTTAGGATCAGTGTTAATCATTGACAGAAGGAATGGCAAATCATGTTTATGGTTGAAGTTTTTATCACAAATGCTTTTGTCACTGCAAACAGATCAGTGTTATATCAAGAAATGTTTCTAAGCTTAATTTTTCAAACCTTGCTTTCACGAATCCTAATAATAAAAGATAAATATGCTTGTATGAATCAATAATATGAACGGAGCAGCAGGAGAAATCATCACCGACAATGCTAGCGTGGACGTAGCTGATAGTTTGAGCCGTATAGAGTAACACTCAGGCTTTCCTTCCCCACTCTAACTATCATCTCTCCATACAACAAGGTGATGAGTTAGCACACAACAAACAGAGTCTAATCAAAGAAATAGTTTCAGAATATCACTGTATCCACCATCACTCACTCACTCACTCACTCGAGATGTAGGTAGATCAGACTGAAGAGTCTCAAATAGGACGAAATACGCGCCCTGTAATTCCCAGTTAACAACCAACAACACTGATCAAGCAACGAATAATTCACGAATGGAAGTACTTTCTCCATCAAACAGGTGAAATTTTCAAAGCATACTCCGTATTGGAAATGACTTAATGCGTTTCAACACAGAATTTTGCACTTATGATTTCTAATGAAACTTTTTTGTTCTTCCTTATTACTATACCTTTTTCTCAGACCTCTGTTTACTGTCTCTAATATGCATTTCTCCTACTTTCTTCTCTTGCTTTGTGTGCTGCATGGAGGGAGTGTGGCGACTTGAACTGCCGCACATATGTGTTAAGTTCTATGTCGAAAACCGACCGATATATATATATATATATATATAGAGAGAGAGAGAGAGAGAGAGAGAGTTGAAGAAAACACGAAAAGATGATGAACTCTCAAATGTTAAGAAATTCAAATATGAAAGATATCTCTAATTATGATAAATTCTCGAAATGGGAAATATAAGGAGAAGCCAATTAGGCTACTGCCACCAACATCAATAAAAACAAATTTAAGATAAGTTGAATAGAGTGTGTGAATTGGAAAGAGTTAGAATCGATTGAAATGGATTAAGGTTAAATCAGTGTAAAAGGTCAGACAACAACAACAGCAAAAACAACGTAATATAATGTTGAGGTAATAAAAACAACAAAAATATATTAGGAATTCACTATGTGAAAACAAATTAAAAGGTTTTACACCAACAAGAACTGCAAAAATCAATCAATAAAGGGATAAATTTCCGAGGTTTAAAACAAAAACTTTTTTTGATGAAAGGGATTTGCTTTAATTCTAATGCACACAATCATAATTTGAATAATTTTGCAGGCGAAAACTAACAAGTTGGTAGAAGAGGTCGACTGGCAGCGAAAGCAGGACTTCAAATGAACTTAGAGAAAACGGAGGTGATGAAGATAACCAACCAGCAGATACAACCACAAGCACCAATGACTATCACTTCTTTCACCTATCTAGGGAATTTTCATTTCAGGTGGCACGGATAAGGATGTCAACAGCAGAATCGGAAGGGCAAGACAGAAACTCACTCACTGACGTGAGTTTGGAAATCTACTGCACTCAGCCAGCATAAAGAACGAAATTCGAACTTTCAACACCTGTGTTAGGTCAGTCAGTTCTTTTATGTGGGTAGGAAACTTGACAAAGGTGCCACGGGAAGCATTTCCAAGAGGTTACTGCAAACTTTTACCAACAGCTGTCTTCGCTGGGTCCATATTGAATATTAGACGGCTAGTGGGAAGGAATTAGGAATCGAGAACCTAATGCTGAACAAATATTCTGCGGCAAATGGGGATGAATTGGAAACACTCTGAAAAGACCGTGGAATGACATCTCGTGCCAGGCATAACCTTGAGTGGAAACCAAATGGGGAAAGATGAGCTGGGGGTCACTTCGAGGATGACATGGAGGGAATCGTATGAGGGGAAGATGAGAGCCTATAGATTACCGTGTGACCGAATGGAACAGGACATAGTGGAGATGTGCTATTGAAGGCCTATATTCCACCCCATCCCCACGGGAATAAAACTAATAATCCCAGTGTATTCAGAAAATCAAAGCTGAGAAATATTTCTGATATCTTTCTTTTGATCTAATAATGAATTTTGTTTTGATTTTCTATATACTCTGGGACTATTTGTTCGGTTGTAGTAGTAGTGGTTACTACTGGAATCCAAAGTGTGTGCTGTGTGGTTTTATTTGAGGCTCATCCTTGGGATGCTAAAAATCAATGACTGGGAGACTATTGATGGTATACCTCAACATGGTTTCCAGCAATGGAGATGCACTCATATTTTGTAGTTTTTCGCCCCCTTACATTTTTGATCCTTATAGTTCTTTTGGATTACTTTTTTCTCTATCTTTGTGTGTTATTTGAAGTGTAGAGTGATATGAAGTTCTGTACTTCTGGGCAAAGTTGTTTACTGAAATTCATACAGTCAGTCAGTCTAAAAGCAACTCCTCCAAACCATTTTATTAACACGTAATCATCATTGAACCTGATACACTACAATATCGTTTAACTTGAATTGTTTTTTGTTCAATGTTTGTGTTTTGTTGTTTTTTCTGAATTGTAGACAATTTGAACATATGAATAGGTAATATTGTGGCATGTACTACTGATAAGATTCATTAGTAGTATATATATATAAATGTATAAAGAGATGTTCATCGGCCTAAAAGCATCAAATAGCAGGGAGGTAGATCTGACGTCAAAGAAAGCAAGTGATCCAGCATTACAGCAAAACATGGGAGACGTGAGAAGGAAGGACAAAGAAAGACAAATATGAAGGAAGGGCAGAAGTAACACAACACGGAAGATCTGTGCAAATGACGATTTCCAGAAAAAGCGTACATTATTTCGCTCTATTATATATGGAGATACCAATTTCCAAATAAACATTCCATTACTATGTCTCTCTTGTCTTCTACCGTTTCAGTTTAAGATCTAAGTTTCTAAAAATAAAACTGCTAGCAGACAGTAGCAATAAAATCTTGTCCTATGTGTTGTTCTGCACAATTAGTATGAGCTAAAGGCATAATGATCGTCGTCAGTGCCTAGTTAATTACAGATATTATATCTGATATTGAGGTGTGCATGAAGAGTTGCAGCAGTCACATGTATAAGTAATGTATCGATGGGTTACCAGTTGTTCACAGTGTGGTGAGAGCTGGCTGCTAGCCAAATTGGTAGACAGCAATTTACGTCAATGTTTACGTCCCCAATATTGGTTGTGAGAAAAATAAAAACAAAGACTGATTCAACAACCAACCACAACGGACTGCGTAGGCGGATACAATTTGCAGATAGATAATCTGAACTTCAATGAACGGCCACAAAGAGATGAAAGATTAACTTTAAGTGAGAAACAACCAATCAGAAGACTGTGTTTGTTTGCTTACAATAATCTATAATAATGTACATGAAAAGCTATAAATGTGTTGATTTCCTAAATAAACGATCTGTTTCCTGGCCCTTGTCTTCTGTTGTTACAACAGGATCCAAAGATAATAAGTTTCCACTTGTCATTGGTAAAAACACAGTTAAAATTTATGAAACGATACAAACTGAATGAAGAGTGCCTCATTCTCAGTGTAGTAATGGTAGTAGAGTAGTGAGAGGAAAGGTACTGAAACTTTCCAGAAGAGATCAAGTTTCTAGTTAGATCACAAACTGACATCAGTTAAAGAAGCACTGTACACCGAAAAAAATATTGGAAACTGTTTCGTCCTAATCTGATACTCTTCATCAGTAAGCACCCATGTTTATGCCGGCTGTTACACAAGTCCAGCCTGTTGGCTGTCCTTTTAGACACTGGTATGGAATTCGATGAAGCATGAATTTTAACTTTTGCCAATTCACATACACAAACACACACGCATTCAATACTTGAGAATGAAAGTTGTTTACGAAAGACAAAACAACAAAGGCAAAAAACAAAACAAAAAAACAACAACTCATATACACGTACTTGAAATTCATATTTTTAAACTGGAAATGAACTTCAACAATACCAGTTGTCTTCACTCGAGTTCTAAGGATATCTTGTTCTGTTGGCATGTAGTCTTTAGCGCCTAAACGATCCAAATCGTCAAGGAAACTGAGGGGGAAAAGGGTAAAAAAAACAGAAACAAAAAATGAGAAGATAGCATGTTCATATCAACCATGAGTATTTAATATGTCGTCGTTATGCAACGGCAGAACACAAGAAAATTTGGTAACGGGGTACAGATATAGGCAAAACACGCCGAGCATATTATATAAGAATCATAGTTTGCAAATATCTTCGATATCTTCGTATTTCTTTGTCTTCTTCTCGTGTTTTCTTAGTTGTTTCACAAGCATCATTCATTAAATCCATCCCTCCGCTATCCGATTTTGTTGCAGATGATATATATTTTTATATCTGCATCTGTATACTACTTATAAATCTTTTCAGTAGCATACGTCACACTTATACGTACCTACTTCAAGGATTACGGTGATACATTCATTGTGAAAGGTTATTTGTTTTAAGATTTCCAAGATCTCTTCTTTTCTCTTCACTGTAGTCCAACACAACATTTCATGAAGTGTAGAACTCCCTTGAACTCTTTTAGTTGACCTCATAGTTACTCTACCACTATGCTCAGGGACAAAAGGTATATTGCTAAGAGACACGTATACGAGAAAGTGAGAGTTTTGATGTGACTTTACCTGGAGAATAGTCAGAACTACTTTTACGTATCAGTACAGTTATGGAGAAAATATGACGATCATTCACATCAGTTAGCATTCTTATGTATAAAGAAAAAATCCACACAATATACTCTGTTTAACCACTATGTCATGAGTTTTTTAACCCCATATCACCTACTGAAGCTTATTCATGAGGATGTGACTCACTGGTTTCAACATTTGACCCCACACTTATAGTGGTTCAGGATTCAACTCCTGCTGTTTGTCCCCCTCCCCTCCATAAACGATATGGTACGGCTGACGGTTGGGTAGACTTCGATCTTCTACTGAAAATACTCTCATGTGGCCATGCGTCCATAGCCTATGTAGCTAGGTAAGACCTATTCACCGCTTCGGAGCAACGGGGGTATTCCTCACAAAATTGAGAGTGCGAATGTGAACGTCCGGTGCCTACAATCAGACTGGTGGACATACTGGTCTACCTATCTAGGGGAGCTGGAAAACCTTGATTCCAAGAAGTGAATACATTTACGTCTTTGAGTACAATCTTGGAGTTCTATTGAGAAGTTGTGACCATCCGGTCGAAAGTGAGGATGGAGTTTCCCCACGATGACAATGGTTAGTGGTCACGCTAAATGCATCACGAATTGGTAGAAGTTAGAATTCATGTGCTTGCCATTGAATCGGGTCCCAGTGGCTGAATGAGTTTACCTGGGAACAGGAAGGTCTTGGGTTCGTACAGCTGATGATTCCCGAACTAGGCTGGTGTGACAGCTTTCCAGTACTCCCTGCTGGTTTTCAATGGTTCTCTAACTGATAATCAATCCGTGGGCAAACTCGTTATTATTATTGTTGTTGTTGAATAGAGCCACACACACATAGATTCCAAGCACAAACAATTGTCTTTCCGCCATCTTCGAAGCGTTTCGTGACTGTGTGTATGTGTGTGTGTGTGTCTGAATAAAGTTTCGGACAGTTATGCATACAGTAGGATGCAAGGATTGATTCTCTGCATTTAGATCACAATGAGTCAGTTTTACTGTCTGAAAACACGATCTCAGTAACAGCGGTATTTGTACCGCCCTCAATAATTATATAATAATGATTATTTATTTATTTCTGGAAGGAGGGAAAGGTGCCTACTGACTGGAGGAAAGGTTACCTCGTGAAACTACCAAAGAAGGGTGACTTATGACTATGCAAGAACTGGCGAGGAATCATGCTCCTGTCGACACCAAGTAAAATCCTGAGTCGCATCATCCTGAAGAGAATAAAGGACTCAAGATCAGATGGCCGGAAAGAATCACCAACAAGAAACTATGGGAACAAACAAAACAAGAACCAATCGCTCAACAAATATGCATGAGAAAGCGGAAATGGATTGGACACTCGCTGAGGAGGCCTCTGGGTTACACCACGCGTCAGGCCAGTGCTCGAGTGGAACCCGAAAGGGAAGTGGCGAGTGGGACGTCCAAGGGTGACATGGAGGAGATCGTGTGAAGAAGAGTTGAAACAGTATGGACTAACATGGATGCGAGTGAAAAGTACAGAAGAAGACAGAAGCAAGTGGAGAGGTGCAGTTGAAGCCCTATATTCCACTAGGAACTCAAGGGAACAACAATAATAATATTTATTTATTCATTTAATTTTATCATCACCAGGACTTTTGTCATTCACCAAAAGAGTAGTAAGAGTATAACGTACTTTATCATATTCTTATATATATTTATTATACACAGATAAGCAAAGTTATTTCCTTGGACTGGCGAAATAGGCACTTTAGTGACTACTGACCTCGAAGACTTTAAAAGGCGAATTAAAACACAAGTAGGGAGTATTTAGGTCATCAGAATTTTGAAAAACAAAGCAGAAGAAAAGTAGGTAGGCAATGAATTCATCGTACTTGTTCGCTTAATAATAATAATACGTCAGTCATCGCATATTATTGTTTGTTTTCGTTTTTTTGGCGTTTGGAGACAAAGAGAATTACGTGTGAAATAATGCGAAAAAAGAAACAAAGCTTAAAGGAACAATGAATTAAAAAGACTCTGGAGAAATCATCTCATTTGAACAGAAGAAAACTAGCCAGACAGAAGATAACTACAATAGACTGAGACGCATTCACTCCAGAATGCCTCAAGTGGAATGAAACAAGCCTATCGAGGGTGGTAAGTGATTGTTAGACGAATTTGCCTCAACTATTTTCAGCACTACTATTAATCACTTAATTATTTCAAACTGAGAACCACTAACTCTTAGATAGTTGGAGGCAATCGGCCACAGGAAGCCTCGCCCGACTTAGATTTCGTGCTAGTTGGCACTCACCAGTCAGTAAGGCGTATCTGCAACTGCCTTGAAGGAATTCATGTCCCTTCTGAGATTCGAACCCACGTCACCCAGTGCTGCAGTCAGTCTGCACCAAAGAAAGGACTAGACACGTCACACTAGTTACTAGTGTCCAATGAAAAAACCACTAACTCTGCCGTGGGAGTTACATCTGTCTATCACGGCAAACCAATCAGTCAGTCTACACTATCTGGAATGACTGATCTGTGAGGTTGGATGGATAGTGTTCGGCTGAGAATGGAATTACTGGTGTAATATTGATTATTATTGTTGTTGTTAGATGGTTGGAGGCGATCGGCAGGAAGCCTTGGTTGACCAAGGTTTCGTGAAGCAGCAGCGGATTCGAATCTCAGAAGAGGCGTGAATTCTTTCAACACTATATATCTTCCTTACTGAGGAGTGCAAATAATTACGAAACCTAGGTTAGCCAAAGTTTCTTGCCGATTACCTAAAACCATCTAACAACAAATTCAAAGCGCCACCTAGAATGGTGGTCACATTGCAAACTTGACTGATAGAATTCAGTCTGCACCAAAGAAAGGACTAGACAAACATGACGTTAGTTAGTGTCCAACCAAAAAGTAATGATGATTGTGTTGTTCAAAGGTGAAATCATTTAAACCTGTGATTATTCATCAGTCAGAGAGAGTAGTCATGGTTTTCCCACCTGAACTTCAAATTTGCAATTTTGATCAATTCCTCGGATTTAAATTCGTTGGAAACCAAAAGATCCAACAGGAAATTAAAAGGTAAAAATTAACACCATTTACGAAACAAATTGCATGGACTGCAATCAACACCACATTGGTCAAAGTGGGCGTCCGCTTCGAATCTGAATCCAAGAACATAAATTAGCGGTGAAAACACACATGTAGATAATTATGGACACCAATTAGATGATAGGGATAATGTAGGAATTTTAATTAGAGGAAACACCAGACAGTAATGCCAGGGAATCTCTAGAAGACTGGTACTCAAATGAATCAGAGAGCGACTAACAAACACACATTACACTATAGACCAACTTTATCAGCTAATAAAAAGTAAATCATCACATGACAAGAAAGTTCGAATTCCAAGTCAATATAAAAATGACCAGCATGGACGTGAATTAACAACCAATCACGATAATGGTTGTCAGGAGATGCAAATGAATATCATTCATACAGAATTCAAATAAGTTCACTTTTAATACTAAAATCCTGCACTGAAAATATTGTCTAGAAGGGGGACGACGAAAGCTTCGCAATTAAATCAACCAGCTGCTCAGAGAACACAACTCAATCAAAACCATCCCCATCTGAGCCACAAAAAATCTTTTCCAAAACTCAGATCATGTTGGACAACACACAAATTGACACAATGTGGTGTTCTGATTAAAAGCGTTCCATTTTGTCGTAGGAGAGATTTTCTCTTTTTGAAAAAAAAAAGAGTTAGACTTACTATTTAGCTGAATCATTCAACTGGTATTCATTTGAACGTGCAAAGCATTCTTGTACACCAGAATCAGCCCATAATCGTTTCATTGCATCCAGCAATTCCTCTGAAAATGGTTTCGTATCCTCCATGGCTTGGATTACATCGCAGACAATACGCGCATCCTCTGCCTGTAACAAAAGAAAGAAAGAAAGAAAAAGCAGAATGGAAATCAGTTTCAACTAAGTAAAAGTAGATTTTCTAAAAATGAGGAGATGAATTTACTTTAACGATGACTACACTACTGTAACGGAAAAATTGTTTGAAAAATTCCTTTCCACCCTCCCCCTTGAATTTCTAATTTTAATGCTTCTATTTGTGGTTGCAGCACGATATATTGACAGCTTGTTGTTTTACGACTGGGATTTTGTTTGAGTGAGCCGAAGTCATTCTGACCTTGGACCGTCGTGTTCGGGAATTGTTGGTGTGTAATCCTTGTGGATACAGCTTTTAATCACGCCTTGTTGGAAATATTCTACTTGGAATTTAATTTGTGGATGGTGACTAGCAGTGGAATCCAGGATAATGCACATTTCGTCCTATTTGGGATTCGTCATCTGGATGTACCTGCGTTTCCCAGGTGACGAGTCCCAAGTAGGACGAAACTCGCATCCTGGCTGAATTGCATTGCTAGTCACCATCCACCAATTAACTTTCTAATTACATGCCCAGACATCGTTGTCGAAGCATCTGCACAAGAAGCCAGCAGACATGTCAACCTGAGACTGAGCACTTCGGTCCAATCAGTACACGGGAAAATCTAAAATTCAATACAATACATTAAGGATTGTTTCCATAATTTTGTTTGTTTGTTTTTCATTAGCCTATTATTATTATTATAACTATTATTACACTTAATATTCAAAGAGGACTGACTGGTAAACGCCTATGAGTGTAGAACACTTAGCTAATCCAAAGATACAATTTATGTTATATTATTATCATCAACATCATAACAACAATACTTGTTGATAACATCACATTATGCCTTGTGTTGTTGTTATATAAAACGGCTTCAACAACAAGGACCAATTTAATTAATATGTGAGAGCTGTCCGAAAACACATAAACACGGACAATGGATGATTACATATAATTAATTAACATATAAACGATTAATAAAAAGACAATTGCAGCGAAGAAAATTTTCTTTTCGACGAAGTCATCATCTAGGCTGTACATTCGTGTATTTATATCAAATGGATAGGAAAGTTCCAGAGTAATTTCTGGTTAGGGGTCAAATTAATAAAAATTACAATTAGGAATTAAAATGACGTAACAAACAGGGGGATGGATAAAACTCGACAAAGTAGCATATAATACTAAGAAGACTGACATTATGCAATTGGGGTTAGAATTAAATAAATATAAGATTTGATAAATAGTATGATGAATAATTGTTTATGCAATCAGGGATTAAATATGTAGAAATATAAATGACAAAATAAACATCTGTTTATTTTGTCATCTTACTATTTCTACATATTTAATCCCTGATTGCATAAACAATTATTCATCATACTAGTTTCTTATCCAAACATCCTGTATATTTTGTTATTTCTACATTTCTAACCCCCAATTGCATAATGTCAGTCTTCTTAGTTATTATAATGCTACTTTGTTCGAGTTTTATCCATCCCCCCTGTTTGTTACGTCATTTTAATTCCTAATTGTAATTTTTATTAATTTGACCCCTAACCAGAAATTACTCTGGAACTTTCCCATCCATTTGATATAAATACACGAATGTACAGCCTAGATGATGACTTCGTCGAAAAGAAAATTTTCTTCGCTGCAATTGTCTTTTTATTAATTCCTATGACCCAATGTGTATATTTCGTGATATAAACGATTCTATGATGATTTAATCGTTTGTGTTGTTTGCGTTTATTTGTTTTGTAGTTTATGTGGCTGTTGTTGTAGTTGTTGTTGGTGGTGGTGTTTGAGACTTCTGATGATTACATTCGGTGAGACAAACAGAGCAAGAGAGAGAGAGAGAGAGGCAAAGGCAGAGGAAACAAAAGATGGAGAAATCAATCATTAGGCTGACGGTAAACAACCAAAACTGAGTGAAACCAACATTGTACCCTAGCGACTGACTACAAGGTGTTGTCTGGGTGTGAGGAGAAATACTCACAGACAATGACAATGACTGGTGTTGGTGTTATGTATTCACAAAGTGCGGGGGAGGGAAGTTGAAATTCACATGCCGACCAATGGATTCGGTACCATAGTGTCTCATAAACTAGGGATCCTGAGTTCAATCTCCTGGTTGGGGTCGTGAGTGTATACTGATGAGTGATTTCAAACTACGACGAAATAGCTATTCATCAGTACTCTCTGGTTGGTTTTCAATGGTTCTTGAATTGATATCAACTTCAAAACAATCGATTCCTCCCCCTCCCCGAATCAATACTTGAAAATCAATGAAACAATGACGACTTTATACAAATAACTCCAATTACCAATGATAACTTTGTGTTTATCTTAGGTAATTGGAGTTATTTGTTTGCATCAGTGGTTCAATGATAAAATACTCACGAACCACACGCTCAGTATGGCTTCAACTCGAGGTTGATGTACTCCTAAGCCTGGCCTTGCCAATAGTAAAGAAGGAAGGTTGGATGTGGGGTTAGGAACCCTTTACCCCACGAAAGCAACATCACAGTTAGCTAAGTGCAACATGACTGACCTCATAAAGAGGAGTAAGTCTAGAGGAGAACTTAGCAAACGCAATAAATGCATCAGAGCACAATGGTACAATAGGTTGGGACAGAACTACACCTGTAAAAAGTAAAATAGTTAAATGGAATGAGTGATTGATCAATGAATCTTTGTGCATCACATCTACACCTAATATATGCAGCATGAATGATGCAGCTATGTAAGACATGACCACTAATAATATTAGATGGTTGGAGGCAACCAGCAGGAAGCCCAATCTGATCTAGGTTTCATGGTAGTTGGCACTCACCAGTCAGCAAGGCGTATCTTCAACTCATGTCCCTCCTGAGATTTGAACCCACGTCATCCATTGCTGAAGTCAGAGACGTTATCACTGAGCTATTCTATCTCGCAATTGGCCTCCTGTAGGACTGTAGTGGATACTTTGATTGGACACTAATTACTAGTGTGATATGTCTAGTCCTTTCATCGGTGCAGACTGAATTCTACCAGTCAGGTTTACGATGTGGCCACCATTCTAGGTAGCTCGACATCACGGTGCACATTGATTTGATATTAGATGGTTGGATAGCTCAGTGGTAACGTCTCTGACTGCAGACAGCACTGGGTGACGTGGGTTCGAATCTCAGAAGAGACATGAGTTCCTTCAAGGCAGTTGCAGATACGCCTTGCTGACTACTGAGTGCTAACTAGCACGAAACCTAGGGTCAGGCGAGGCTTCCTGCCTATCGCCTCCAACCATCTAATATCATCAAATCAATGTGCACCATGATATCGAGCTACCTAGTATGGTGGCCACATTGCAAATCTGACTGGTAGAATTCAGTCTGCATCAAACAGAGGACTAGACACATCACACTAGTTTCTAGTATCCAATCAAAATATGACCATCACTAAAATCAAAGGATGAGAAATGATGAAGCTATACAAGCAAAGTTTGGGAGTTATGCGGGGGCCTCGACGTCATTAGGTGTAATAAATTTTGCTCAAAACGTCATCAGTAAATAAATACTAGTGTATCATTGTATGTATGTTTTTGTCAAGTAAAAAAAATATTCCATGATGCTCTACCAAGCGAAGTGTGCTACTGAAAAGATTTATAAGTAGTATATAGATTCAGATATAAATATATGCATATCATCTGCAAGAATATTCAATGGCGGAGAGATGGATTTAACGAACGATGCTTGTGATGAAATAACATGGAAAACATGAAAAGAAGACAAAGAGAGACAATACGGGAGAGAGAGAGAGAGAAATAGCACAACGGCGAAGATATGTCCAAACTATGATTCTGAGTAGCCAATAAATAATTCCATCGCCCATTTCTCTTGTCTTCTACCGTTACACCACATTACTAACATGCTGTTCTTGTATCTAAGTTGCTTTTTCGATGATAGCTAACAGTAGAATTTTACGACGCACTTCTTGGCTTATTCAAGATTCATCAGGTGGATGTACTTGTCTACCCCCACCGTCTCATCAAGTGAGTTGATGGCGATGCATAACGCCTTGGCATTTGAAGCGATTGGTACTGGATATTATTCTCAACGGGAAAATCACTCCATGTACTAAGCTTAACACCAGCCATCTGATCTTCGCTAGGGAGTCAGAGAAGGCAGCTGTTGATGCAATTCTGCAGTAACCTGTTGGAAATGCTTTCTGTGCTGCCATAGCCAAGTTTCTAGCCCATATAGCAGAACTGACTTAACATTTATGTTGAAAATCAGAATCTTATTCTTTATGCTGAGTTCAGAAGAATTACAAACCGCTTTTATAGTATTGAAGGTCTGACTCAACTTCCCGGTTCTGGCTATGACATCTTCATCTGTACCGTCTGCCTGCAATTGAAACGATGCTTCTTGGATAAGTGGCGGAAGTGACGTCTTTCAATTTTTCTCCATTGATAGTGATTATCACTGGTTGTTGTTGTTAATGTTGGTGTGTGGGTATCTTCATCACCTCTGTCTTTTATGTGTTCACTTGAAGTCGTGTCTTTGATGCCTGCCTCTGCTGTCACCATGTTGGCTTTCGCTTTTAGGTCTTCGAGTTTGTATGACACCAGAAATAAATCGTCCAACAAGTCAAGATCTTCCAGAGTTTACTTATTGACCCAACGTATTCCTGTCTTCTCACTCCCCACAGACAGTCTGACGCATAATCCAGTCCACCTCAAATAGGAATATCATTGTGGGTGATAGTAGGCAGTCTATTTTTACCCTTATCCTCACTCCAAAGGCTTTGCTGATTTTCCCATTCTGGATCACATGACATGTAGCCTTTTCAAATAGCTGTTGAATGAATAAGGTCGATAAAGATTTGCGGCACTCCATAATGTTCAAAGAGAGTTCAGGTTGATATTGACGAATCATTAGCGTCTGTGCTATACACAAGTGTCGAAACATAATACTACCCTTTGCACCATTCCGCTTTACCTTGTAGGTAA